AGAACCAGGCTAAAGGCACTGGCCCGATCCTATGTCGAAGGGCAGCAGCCTCACCCTCCACCAGCGGGAGGGAAGGTGCAATCTGAGCCCCAGTGTCCTTTCACAGTGACCTGTCCAGGCGTCCTGGGGACAGCCACACTGTCCTCCACCATCCTTGTGAGGCATCAGGGCTCTCAGGAGCAATACTCTCTCATGGCCTTCATCTTTGCATGAGAGGAAGGGCCAGAGCTGGGTGAAGGTGGCTCTGACAGTGAGTAGGTGCTGGAAAGTGCAGAGAGGTTACTGTGCTCCTTTCTGACCCAGGAGCCAGGAATGGGGCTGGCTCAACACCCCTGCCTTTGCTTTGGGACCCTTCCTGGAGGAGGCTAGTATGAATCCCAGCAGCATTAATGCATGAGGGAATAGCCATCATTAGCATTCCAGTGAAATTTTTCGTATGCCTGGCCACAGCTTAGCCCCCAGCCCCAGCTCTGAAAGTAAAGGCCTTCCCCTCCTGCCTGGCCAAGACAAGGGCATGCCATGCTCAGCTTGGGGCTGGCAGCAAGGGGCCTCACAGTGACCACCCTCTCCCATTCCATTAAAGGGTTTCCAGCTTGTGGCTTCAGGCATTCGCTCCCTTTTGGTGGAGCAGAGAGTGGCCACTGGTGCACTCACAGCATCCTCTGTCTCTATAGAAACAGCACACTCAAGAGTTCAATTCATAAGGTGGTTATTAAAGAAAATTCAGCAATTATAAAGCACAGATTGTCCTTAATGCTTCTACCCATCACCCATGGCACGGGGACCTGTGGTGTTGCAATCAAGTTCCCTCCCTCAGGCAATAGCTGGGTAAGCACCCTGGATTTGGGGCACAGGCAATGTACTCCCATTGGAGCCTGGCAGGGCAGAAATATGCAGGGCTGGTTAACTGCTAAACTGAGAGTATTTTAATAAATTAAATCAGCCCCACGGGACTGGCAAGCTTTGATCCATTATGTGTCCCAACACGCTCCTGGAAGGAATGCCTTGAAGAGTGCTGAGAAGCAGCCCCTGAGCAAGGGCAGAAAGGAGGCAGGTCTGGGGGCAATGCTGGCTAAAGAGCTCTCCAGAGGCCTTGGGAAACATGAATGGCAAAAAACCCAAATAACTGCTGAGTGATTACATTAATGTCGTAAGACTATCCCCAGGCTTTATTAGCAGCTGTTTAATTTTGGCCTGCTTAAATTAATTAGTCGAAAGAAGCGGTGGGGGCCAGACCAGACTGAAAAAAGGCTGTATCCAATCCAGTCCCTGAGGTGTGGTCCACCCTTTCCTGTGGCTCTGAAAAACTTAAGCTATTGCTCAACAACCTCCTCAGTGTCCTGAGTATTAAGCATTTAGAGGTAGCACTATTTTATCTTACCAACGTGCTCTTTGCAGGCTGGTACCACAGGGTGGGAGCCTGCTCTGGCTGCAGGGCAGTGCTGGGTACCCTCCTGGTCTTTTTGCCCTTTCTGGGGGGGGGAATTGCTGGTGTTTCCTGGGTTACTCCCTAATGTGGCCCTGGGGCAGGCCAGTTTCCAGAGTGCTGACCTGGATCACAGGGAAGAGGCTCTCCCAAGGAGCCATCCACATGGCCACGCTCTCCTCTGGCACAGGCTGGCATAGATGCTGAATTTCCCCCCTGAAAGGACCTTTTCCATCACCCAAATCTAGAGATGAGGTAAGAAGACAACCTGACCAGGGCTTAAACTAAAGATTTTAGTAAGGTATTTAAAGTTGTGTGTTTTTCCAGGAGTAAATAGTCCTTGCTGAGGTCTCATCCATGCACTGCAAGAGGCAGTTACTGTGTGGCCTCTATCACTGGGATCAACCCAGTGATATCCCAGCAGCCTTTCCCCAAGCAGCTGCCTCCTCTGACCCCTCTCTGCACTGCTCACAAATTCTTCCCCTCTTCTCAGGGCTCTGCAGCAGTGCCAGGTCCCTTCTCTCCTGCCAGGGGACTTGTTTGTTTGTAATTGAAGAAACCAGATGGTGTTTTACCAGGTTAATGGGCACTGGAAGGGCAGGGGTTAGAAATAACGAGCATTCATTAGGAAGGCAACAGGTTAGATCAAATTAAGGAGTGGCTTCAATGTGTTAAGTTATCTGGGAGCAACAGATACTTTATTTGATGGCATATTTGTAAACTCACAGCCTACACTCATGCTGTTGAGACAAATAAATGCTGAGGGTAAAATACAGCTTTGGACTTTATGAGCAGGGTGGAATGTTGTAGGGTTCAAGGTAATGCAGGCTGAAGCTGGAAAGGGGGTCTTTGATTTCATATAAGGAATTAAGGCTTTTATTCAGACTCTGGATATCCAGAGGAAGATACAGTGATGACTTATTTAATTCCTTTCTGCTAGCAAGGAAGCAACCTTGTCCTCTCAACCAGCATCTCCTTAGCAAGATCAGGGCTGACTTTCTGCCTCCCAAAACTCTCTCAACTCCTCCTAAAGTGTCAGAGTGTGTGCAGGAAGAAGGAGCAGGAGCTAATTCCTCATCTACAGAGTTTCACGCTCCGATGTGTTTGCTGGAGGTCTCGTGGTGCCAGGGGAATTTATCTGCCAATTACTTCTCAAAAAATAACAAAGGGTCATGCAGCACTTGGCAGCTAAGGAAAGAAAGGGGAGAAGAGAACTGGATTTTAATTGAATCCCAAGTATGTTGAAGAAAAATTTCAGAACTATCAATTAGCTGTTGGTCTGAGGCTGAAATTTAATTAAGAGAATAGTGTATTTAGGATGTCCCTGTCTGGGGGGAAAAAAGCATAAAGGGGAACAGTGAAGATATAAAATGTGATGAGGAGGTGGGAAGTATTATGCTGGAGATACTTCAGAATTAAGCTGCTCCTTGTGTTTGCAGAGATCAAGGCTATCAAACTGCACGTCCCATGCCCGAGAAATGCCTTAGATCAGGATGCAGGTGGATTTCCAAACTCCACATGGCCTCAGGGCAAAGTTGGCTTCAGTGCCTCTCTCTGCAACCACAGCTTCATGGTGAAGGGCAAGGGACACAGGACAGCCCATCCCTGAGGAGATGCTACCCGTGCTCAAGGCCCCAGGGAGGCACCAGAAGTCACCCAGGGCTCCCCTTCCTCCTCCTCCACCTTATCCTGATCCTTACAGCTCTGGTTTGGCTGCAGATGCTTTTATCAATGGCTTGTTCTGAGCTCCTAAGGAAAAATTGGTTCGAAGGGGGGAAAAAAACCCCTGTGCTAGAGAAAAGATTTTTACAACCAAATTCTCATATGTCAGCAAAAACACTTCCACTTTGTTCAAGAAGCAAATCCCAAATCCCTGTGTAGAACTTCCTTAACTAACAATAAATAGGAACTCTGTTCCTAACTTCCCAATATACACAAAAGAGTGCAAAAATGGCAGGAATCCTTAAATTCCAAGCACATTATGTTTCAAATAATTGCAAAAAACAATGTTCTTTTCCCTCATCCTACAGCTGTTTCAGGGGCAAAGTAGACAGTTTAGTAATTTGCAATATAATAATCATACATGCAAAGCCACCCTACACACAACAAAATAGGTCCTGAAGCATTCTGACACACTGGTCTTGCCCAGCAAAGTGATTTCCATAGATGCAGAGTGGTTAATTAACAACTTGTTCTCTGAAACAATATCACAAAGATATTTCCCCAAGTGGATGCAAAATTCTAAGGTCTTCTAACACTATAGTTTGGTGAAAACCAGTGTTGAGTAGTAAGGCTGCACTGGCTGCTTGAGTACATTTTTGCAGTCACTCAAGGGTTACTGGTGGCTGACACTTGTTTTATTTGGCAACAGCCTTAGAGTTTGGCTCATGTGTAATCTTTTTCACTTTACTCATGGTCCAGATAGTCTCTTGCAAGTTTGGGGCAAGCGTCCTTGGGTTGGTTTCTTGGATGCTGCAGGTTATGAATATGCACTTTGCTCACAAGATGACAGCAGAAGTAACTGAGTCACTTACCACAAAATACTTAATGGACTTTCACAAATTATTATCAGGATATAAGAGAATTTCTTCACCTGCCATTGAAATGCAGCTGTAACTGGGGTGGAGAGCAACACTGCCCTATGGTACACAACTACACCACACTGGGGCTCACAGGACAAGGGCATAGTATCCAGCTGAAGCAACTAGAGGAATTTGGACAGGAAAGGTAAAATGATCCAAAAGAAACTTAGATAACAATGTTGGAATCGCTACTGTTACCTTAGGGAACACCTACTGTTAGTTTGTTAATTTTTCTGTGACAAATCCAACTGGTTTGGACCTTCTGTGCTACCAGCACTGCCGTGTTTCCAGAGGCTTGAGGTGAGTTCATGACACCCAATTTTGGTTATTCCTAACACAGTAGTCTCCAATGGAGAGAGTCTCTTTCAGTCACTGGGCAGAAGTATTCACTTCTTGGACCTCATCTTGGGAGGCATTCATCTCCTCAATAGGGATGTGTATTCCTCAGGGGACTGTGCCGAGATGAAAGGAGACACTGCTTGGAACTGCCTAATTGTCCCCATTAACTCTGAAAAGATGTAGAGGAGCAACTCCCACGGGGTGTCTGTGTTATAAGCATGTAAATTTGGGTAGGAGAGTCTCACTGTGTAAGAAAATGGGTCTGGCAGAAAGTGTTTGGTTTTTTTCCTTGAAAGCTGTTCTCTTTCTGGGGTTTCTTTCAATGCTCTAGCCTAACTCTACAAGCAATTGCACTTGCACATAACACAGAATGGCATAGCACTGCTATATTTAACTACAGATTCTTTAAAGATGCTAAACATTGACCTGTGCCTAGCACTTCACCAAAAAAGAATAAATTAGCACTAAGAAAAAGCAAATTAATTTGCCTTTAACAATATGTTTTGTTAAATGCCCTGGAGAAGCATTAAATGAAGCTCGCTGCAATGCCAAAGCAATTTCTCTTGGCACTTTCCCAACACAGTGTGTACAGCCACATAGCTCCCACTGCCTGCATTGTTTCAGGGTCCCAGGATTTGCTCATTCTTTCTTACAGGTGCAGCGAGTCTGTTCAGATCTTCTTGCTCAGTGATGTTGTGATCAGAGCTGTCATGAGAACAGTCCCTCGCAATGCTATAGTACACTGGGGCGGTGTACGGGGCAGGGTGCTCAGCACTCTTCTCCTCACACTTGTATAACTTCCTAAAGGCAGCCCTGAATTTCTGGGACATGAGGTTGTAGATGATGGGGTTGATGGCACTGTTCAGGTAGATGCACATGCGGCAGAAGAGAAGGAACCAGACGTTCAGGTATGGAGGGTCCATGAAGGAGTTCACCACCACCAGCGTGCGA